ACCCCTAAAAAAGTGATGTCAAATAAGAGATGCAAATGGGTTTGGAGAAGTTAGGCAGAAACATGAACAAGAATGACTTCTGCCAGAAACCATCAGTCTTACTACTGTGTGTGTGTGTGTGGAGTGAGATAGTACTTCCAGAAGAACAGAGGTCAAAATGAAGCTATTCCAGCATAAGTGCACTATGGAGAATATAAAATCAATAGATAAGTTAGGCGTTATAATTACAAAGGTTTGAGCTTAATAGGTCTTATATAGATTATTTCGTAGCTTGCACCAATGAATTTTCATTCTCCTCAAAATGACGAACACTAGTTAGTGAAATGCTGCTTCTGTTAGCTCCTTAAGGAAGGCTACCACATCATCTGATGTATTGAGCAAATACCGTGCATTCGTACGAGTCCGACCAACAGCACAAGAAAAATAGTTCTCCTTTTTCAGATCGAGAACATTCCAAGAAGTATTTTCAGTTGACGAGTGTTTCCCATTGCCGGATGTTGACTTTCTGTCTGAGTTAGGGTCATTTTGCTGGTAGCTCTTGCTCTGTTGAGTCTTGGAGCTGCTTTTTCCAGAGGGAAGATTTGGGAATTGTCTTTTATCGATTGAAAGCTTAATGGCATCGGTTACTTTATTTCTCGGCATGCACAAGTTATCAAGTGGAAGCTCTGGTTCGAAAAATGTGTACACATCCTCGTCCTAACGAAAATTTAGGTTAGAGGAATATTCAAGTAGACTTTAGTAGGTGCCTCCTGGCACTAAAGGGAAATTAAAACAGAAGTTTCAAATCAGGGAAAAAAATTGCCAGTAATATATTAATTTTTCATGCTACATACACCGTTAAATTATTCTGACCCATACCAGTTCTATACTCCCAGAGTTACATTATTTGTAAGGTTGCCATGAGGAAAGTTTAACTTTACATTTTAGCGATAGTGTACTTCGAAATCATTTATATAATTTTGTCAACTTTTACTTGAGTATGCTGAGGTAAATGAAAGTAAATGGCATGGTCAAGCTACCAATGTAAAATTCATTGCCACTTACTGGATTATAGTCGATCGAGTATTGCTCTGTGAAAAGAAAAAGTATACCTTTCCTAGGAAGTGTCCAATGCACAAGATGTAATCTATTGGTTTGCAGGTGGCTTTACTATGAACGATCTCCCCCAATATGCGGTCAATACCCGCTCCCTGTACACAATCCCAGACAATACAAAGACAGATTACTAATAAAAAAAATATAAAAACAAAACACTGAAGAATTCAGAAGTTGTAGCTACCTTACTGACACCAACAGCTCGAATCTCGACCGAGCGGCTTCCTTGGACTACATCAACAGAGGAGTTAGAAATTGGACCGGTCCAGAGATGTTGCAGCATGTCTCTAGCTTGCAATCTTCCAAATTCAACATCTTAATACGACAAGCAGAACAAGGAGACATGACAAACGAGTGGAGAAATGAATGATAATCTCGAGATGTAAAAGCACAAAAACCAACTCAGCAGGGACACAAAATCATTACCTGCATACTTGTAGTTCCACACTAGTGAAGTCTCACGACGCTCAAAATGTGATCCCGGGGTTCGTTCAGTGAAATATTCGAAAACATGCTGAAAATAGTAGTAAAAAGGGAACACGAGTAATTTATAGGTTGAATAAGAATTATTATATTGAGATGATATATGCACATTTCTCTCACTTGTACACTTTCGACCCAATCCATATTCAAGTGCTCTAGCATTGTTGTCATCCATTCTCCTTTGGTTGATCTCAGAAACATTCCATTCTCAGCTGCTAACCACATGTTGTAGTCCCCAAAGTTCTGCAAAATGCATTTAGTTTATAAGTCACACTAAAGAAAAAAAAAGAAAAAAAAAAAAGCAAATGTGGTTGATAACATACATCATCTAGGACACTTCTGTCACTTCCACTAAGAACCATAATTGTCGTATTCGGGTCACTGCAGAGCATTGTGAGTGGCCCTTTCAGCTCAGGGTGCAACTTGAGTTCCATTTCTTTGATCTGGTCTCCCCTTCTTCCAGGAGTTTCAAATGGTTCGGTCAGTGTACCATTAAAACCCTGTATAATGGTAAATAAAAATTTACGAAAACTTGCTCCACTCTTACTGCACGATTATATAGTGAAAGCACGTGTAATGATTTTTTTTTAATAATTTAATTGCACAAGTTATTGTATACTTGTGTTGTGCTCTCTGATGTTGAAAGGCTTAATTTCTCAGAGCAATGGCATTTTAGCTAAACAAAAATGTATGCTCGTGTAAATTATACAGCAGTTGGAAAGTGAATTAAGAACAATATACAGCTGAGTAAGAATTTAAAAGATATTCCAACTATAGATAAATCTGTTTCCTTGAGGGAAGTTGCATTGACGACACAAGCACATCTACTGATTCTGATGTAAACTTTATAAGTCTACAAATAAAATCGAGCATACCAATATAATTAACAGGTTGTGAGCCTGCATGAAATGCTTGATTGCACCACTGAATACAAGTTGGGGCGGAGCTTTTCTTATTCTCTGTTGTGCTTCTAGAACTGTATCATTCAGTTCGCTGCATGCGTAAGCAGTGTATTTAGAGTTTTTAGTGTCCCATTTATCTGTTTTATTTATTGATGGAAACCAAGCAGCACCGTGAAAGCACATGACTAAACAAGTATCGTTTGAATACTACAAGTGCAAACACCACTATATTTCCAATTTAAACAGTCTAATGCAATATATGAAAACTGAATCCTGAGTACGGACTCATTTGAAAGGCGAAATTAGTCTCAATACCAAAAGAAAGAAATCCTTAAGAAAACTCTCTTGCATTAGGGAAAGGGGTATGAGATGTCTATATCTATAGGGAAGATTCAAGTGAAGAAAGTTCATTATTGAGAGTCCTTACCTAATTTCACTAGTTACCCGATAACTATTTATAGTAGATGGTTAGACCTTTCAGAAAATTTTACTCGGTTACAAACCTCTGAAGATTTAAAAGGACCCTTCTTTATTTTTAACTAGTGCATACCCCGTGCGATGCACGTGATACATATAATAAATCAATTATTTATATAGGACTTGTACGTCTAGACAAAAAAAAAATAGGCTTGGATCATCCATATTTCAGATCTTTTAATAAGTGGCCTTTATTTAAGCCAAAAAATTAACATGTTAATTAATATATAATTTGCTAACACGTCACTAATATTTATTTGATTTTAGAATACATATTTCTCATTGATATAAGGAAAAAATAAAAATCTTATTAATTATTGTTCACCATATAATACTCAATTATTCTCTTATTATAAAATCTACAGTCATATAATGTAATTATTATTATTTATAAAAGTTGTAGAAGTAGTCTTCTTTATGTAATGAAATTCAAAATAAAATTTTGAGTATAAATGTTTACAAAATACACACACATACTTTTTAGAATTCAATTTTCTCATAATAATTCTTTTTTTAAAAAAAAAAAATGATTTAGCAATTGCCAAAAAATAAATCCCTTACATAATCAAAAGATTTTTTTTAATTTTCATCCTAAGGCTTTATAGTTTATTTAACATACTATGCAATAGAAAAATATTTTACAAAAAGTTCATTTTTGAAACATAACAAAAAAAAAGCGATAAAAACACTATCATAGTTGACAATAATATACAAATAAATAACATGTCGAAATTTTAAGGAATAACTAATATAATGTTATTATCTAACTATCAATAAAATCATTTAATGATGTGATCATTATCTTTTAAATAATAAATAATATTAATTTTT